TTAAAAGTTGAATGAAATGGTACCTCCGGGTACGGTGCTTCGGCACTACTATAGTTTGAATGATCATTCTTCAGCTCTACGTGTTATGATAATGCTATAAATATCGAATTTTGCCGAAAATCCATCTACGTGCGACGGTATGAATCCATGGTTCGAATTTTCTAATTTAATTACGAAATGCACCGATAATATCTATTGAGTTTCAAACTCATGGGTTAAATCCTTTCTTACAAGTTGATTTTGTTCTTTTGTTGGGGGCGCGGATGATGGTGGTTGAAGATGCAATTTGACATGGAGAAGCCGGTAAATTAACAACTTTAAATTGATTATGAAATATTTGCGTTTCCTTTTAATTACTTTTCTATGGACATCGTATATGAAACTATTTCTACGAGCATTTTATTATGAATATGTTATGTAAATATATATATATATATATATGTGTGTGTGTGTGTGTGTGTGTGTGTGTGTGTGTGTGTGATCTAGAATTTACTTACGAAATACCGTCTTACAAAAAAAAAAAAGAAAAAAAAAGTCAGCTAGTTAATATTACTGTTTTCTTAGAAATCTCAATTTCAACTCAGATTTTAAAAATTCATAACTAATTTGTTACTTCGAATTTTTGAACAAAGCTAATGGTGTTTGATAGCCTCATAAGTTCGTTACTGAATAAACTTAGAATCAAGTCAATCCGATGTCGGTAAAATTTTATGTCACTTTAAGTAAACATAGTGTTGCTATTTTCTAAAAATTCCAGTTTCTGCCGTTGAACTTAAAAATTCGTAACTCAATCGTTACTTGGGATTTTTCGACAAAACCAGTGGGATTTAATAGCTTCATGCATTAGCTACTGAATAAACTCAAAATCATGTCAATCCAATATCTATGGAATTTTATATGCCACATTAAGTATGCTGAGCTGAGTTACTTCCCAAATCGAATCGCTGCGAGATTTTGAAAAATATTTTGACATCTCATATGTCGCCGACGAAAGCTGAATTTTGGATATGTTATATTATGAGAAGTTCCCTACTTTCTCTTAAAGTTTCGACCGAGATTACTATGTAAACGAGTTTACTTTAAAACTTACTGCACAAAAATGGGAAGTCAAACAACAGCTTTTATTTTTAAATTCTTGCCTAGAATTTCATGCAAGAAAAATATATTTATGCATAGATGTCACCTGAAGACATTAGGAATTAGTTTCTTTTGTTTTGAGTTATGTCGTCATTTATTGTCCTTTTAAAAAATATATATTCTTAAATTAAATCTTTATAATTTTCTCTATAAGTTTAGCTATTTTTTTAAGTTTACGGCTAAAAGTACAATTAATCTAGCGACGTTCCGGCCCTTACTGGTCTGGGCATTACATATATGGTGACAACAATCAACAATATTTATTGCAATGAATTATGTATTCCACAATAAAACCAATCATATAGAGGTTGATTGTCATCTAATTCAGGATAAGAAAGTAGCATGTCAACAACACACGTGGTTAGTAAGTCAAGAATTGTAGACATCTTTACCAAGAGCTTAGGTTCTCAAAGTTTTTATCATCCACATGTTAAAGATTGAAGTACAAGACTCTCCATGTTGCACGGGGAAAGGACCTATTAAAGATTTAAAGAGAAGCTGAATTACAGAAGAATATATAGCAGTACAAGTGTGAGCAGCGGTTTAAAAAGTAGCCCATAACATATCAGCAAGTCAAGAACGATCTAGAAAGGAAGAAGGAACATTATGTTGGTTAAGAAATTATTAGGCTAGAGAATTCAAGGGTTGAAGATTGCTGTACAATCAAATTATTAGTGGGTTTGAGTCAAGTTTCTAACTCAAGTTGATCTAAATAGAATCAAATATTAGACTTTTAGATCAAGAATTGTGTGATTACTTAGACATAACCTAATATAAAGAGTAATACTATTCATCATAACTAATGTTAAAGCACTAATTTATGTGACAATTACATGATATTAAATTATAGATTCATAGTGTAAAGTCATATGACTCATTTAATTGAGAATAATGTTATCTAACATCATTGATACTATAATACCAGTTTAAGTAGTGTTAAGTGATAGGCTCAATGAAAGGTAAAATTAAAAGACTCATTTAATTACACTTCATTCCATATCACATTAGTGCCATCCAAATTGATGGTTTAACACCAATATTACTAAGTAGCATTACTCTCTAATTGAATTTAAAAAGTGTAGCTACCTAAACTTGTGCTAAAAAGAATTATCTAATAGAAATCATGATTAATGAGAACACAACATAAACGAAATAAAATAAACTTTAATTTGAAGTGATCTTGCCCATATGTAGCCACCATGGTGGTGGCTTGGCAAACGGTTTCCATCCCTCATCCTCCATCTTCTGCTTAATCTCATGTTTAAACAAGTCTAGTTTTCTTTTAACCCACATCATTCGAGTCGCATAACCTTGATCATTCTCATAACTTAATGAGGGTGATGCCATGTCCCACACAAATAAGACAAAAGAAAACTTCATTGTCTTGTTAAACCCAACATAAAACATGTAGCCCCTGTTTGGGCTCCATTCTTAAAAAATGCATTTCCCTCTACCATATTTTCAATCATATAATCTCTAATAAAATAATATTATATGGAAGTTCAAAACTTTTACTTATTTTTTAACCACACATTTGCCAAAAAAATTATTATTCCAAAATACATTTTTAATGGAGCCCAACCTGGGGGTACTTTAGAGTTTATACAACTTAATATCAAATGCTTCAATCAAAATAAAAAGCAAGCAATGTTCAATTCTTCCTAACCAAAGAGAGAGATGTGGATTGCAAAACCTAACAGAATTTTAGCACTCAATATGGGGGATGAGTTAAGTAGGAGCTGGGAAAATTTGCACAGCCATTGAAGCAACAGTAGACCCTTTTGGATTGTGAATGAGCTCAAAAGTGCAAACATCACTAATCTTGAGCTTGTTGGATTCATAAAACTGTTTCCAGCCCCTTTCCATAGTAACACGACCATTACCAACATTTTTGTAAAATTTTAGTCCCACTAACCAGTTCTTGCCTGAAGGATCTCTTAGGTTTATCCTAGTCTTCTTATTCAGGCCATTAGATTTCCAAAATTCAACCGGGATATGCTGAAATTCATGAAATTAAGAAATAACAGCAAAATTCCAAAGATCAAACTATTTTTACGTAAACGAAATACAGAACATATAATCAGGAGAATCAAATTATAAGAGATGAAACTCACCATATATGGCTGTCTATAATCAGGAGTATTATGGTGTTTCATTGTTATGACAAAATATGGATCCCTATGCTGGCATGAAGAACCTGCATTTGCTGTGGTTTTTCCACACAAAATAAATAGCAACTTTGAATTCAGCAAAACGTAGAAAATGAAAAGACAATATAATTACCACGGATTGAATTCTATCAACTATCAAACACAATAACTAGTCCTTAGAGATGATATATAGCCCCTGATTGGTTTAGATAAAAATTATATTTTTAGTAGATTTTGATAAGAGTTGGTAGAATATGTTTTTAAAATGTTGTGGAGCCCATAAAATATATGGTTAAAATTAAAGGTTGACTTTGAATTAAATTTTAAAATCCAACGACCAAACAGGGACATAGTTTTGAAATTTGTCAAAACTGGTTTTTCAATTGATTGAAAAATAGTAGATAAATTAGCAAGGTTACTATTGGCAAGAGTAAAATTTGGTCGAGGAGACCAATAAAATCACAACACATTATTACAAGTTCGTTCCTAGGAGATGACATCACCCTATGATGAAAATGAGCCGAGAAGTTGACAAGCCCAACTTCACAAGTGACTCCTAGGCCATTCCAAGGTGGTGCCGTCATCTATGATATGCCGAGCCAAGAGGTTGAGTTGTCCAACTCTATAGATTGTTTCACGGCTGGACATAAACATGATAACAATGGCGACTATCCTAGCTCGACCACTCATCTACACCGCCTGCAACAAGCATGGCTCAAACAACTCCCCTGTGCCTCCCTAGAAATTCAGGGATATCATTGGTGACAGTGACTAGGTGAGGAGTCGCATCAACAACATTATGGATGCACTGCTGCATAAATGACTTGGTAGATGTGGTGCCACATCAGGATACATGACTCTGTAAACTACAATTTTTTCTCCTCTTACAGTTCTATAAATACAACCCTCATCTCCTGGCGAAAGGTGAGTTTTCCCTCATTTTTTCATAGGCAAAACTATCATTTAACTAATCAAAATTCTAAAGTAATTTAGACACTGACCAGCTTCCTTCCCTTTCTAGTAGTCAAACATTCTACTGGGTTACTAAGTTCGCAAATTTAGATAGTCGATTTGGCTAATCCTGTGGGGAGGAGATCTCATTCAGATTCATCTGTCAACGGTAACAAACCAGGAGGTCTCAAGACAGCAGCTATAAAATGAGCTCTTAAAATCCTAGGAAATAAGCTGGTTCAACTCAATCATGACCTTCTACATGAAAATGTCCTTATCATGGTTTTATGTTCTGTTTGCACGGTGTTTCAGACTTTCAGTCAACCATAAAGCTTATGTCAACTCTTGGATTGTTCCTCGATGTGAAAACAATCTAGTTCTAGGACACTTGTGAATTTCTTTTCAATGGCGTCCAGCACCCTTTGATCAGATGCCTCTCTTCCTTTACTATCATTTTATAGATTTCTTTCTATTCTAGTACATTAGTAGATGAATTACTTGCAAGCATAATATATTCAGATCCATCAGAAATGCAAACAATTGTACATACAGTTCTCCAAATATGCTTGAGAAGCCAGTTTTTCCTAAAATCCTGTATTGAAGTAATGCATCTAATGGAAAAAGAAAAGAGCAATATACTAAGTTACTACTATTGGTTATATGCAGTTTAGTATCACAGCACAAAACTTACTCTTGATGGCTTCCAAATTATTGCATACTCCAGCAGATCCTTCATTTCTTTCCGCTAAATCATTGTCAAATTCTTTCTCACATGCAGTAAAATCAAACACGAAAGCATTGAAACGCATTTCCCCAATGTGCTCAAACACGACAATATCCCCAACAGCGAGGTGGTGTTGAAGAACAAAATCACCCCATCCCTCTTCAAAAAACACAGTTTCACTGTTACTTCTAGAAACGTTGATTTTCCAGATTCCCTTGGCACTCGTTATATTGGCCAATTTCACTTCATTTAGATTTCTACAAAAAGCTTTTGGCAGGGCCTGCTCATAAATAAAATGGAAAAAGGAAAAATAGTTATTAGACCATATAAATTACATTTATAAATACGTTAATACAAAATGCATATCAATGGCAAAGGAGATGGTCGAGTAAATTTGAAAAAACTTATTAGAAAATGTATGGAAATTTTTTTACATTTGTAAAAATTTGGCAAAAGCATTTCGTAATACATAGTTAAAAAAGGGCTTTTATTTTCGTAATTTTGGCACAGATCACGAACCAAAGCACCCACTATAAGTGAGAGTGCACATAAACCCTAAGAGATTTTTTGCAGCATTTACACCACAAAACCTCCATTACTTCCTCCTCAAATCAATCAGCAACCACTCGAATTACTCTGTTTCAGCGAAATCAAAGAAGAAAAACATACCAACTTTGAATGAAAATCACGTGACATGACCTTGAAAAAATGTTTTGTTACTCGAGAATTTTCTTCCATTTCAATCTTGAATTAATACAGGAATTTTTATTCTATTTGTATTGGAAGAATGTTAAAGCTGCTAAAAGATCCCCTGGGTCATGACGATAAGCTTTCTTGTCATCTAAAAGTCATTTTTTTCTTCTTTCTTTTTTTTTTTCAATAGTACATTATCATAATAAAATAATTTTATACTTAAATTTAAAATCTTTCCTACTTTTCAACTACATATTACCAAAAGAGTATTATTATTTCTATCCACATTTTTTATAAGTACATTCACTCTAAATTCATCTCTAATAAAATTTTAAAAATTTCAAAAAATATTATTTATGTCAACGTCATATTCCAATCTTCTATTTATTAAATTCATTCATTTAAATATTATATATCTACTTGAGTTTTATATATTCATCCCACTTTAAATACATCTCTATCACTATAGATTCGCAGAATCCCTAAAATCATAAACTCTTAAACCAAATAAATGAAATAAGAACAAAGCTGAACTGATTGTACATTGAATTAATATGAAATAAATTCTTCGTCTATTGAAGTTCTGAGTATTACAATGTTTCAAATAACAAATGTCAAAGAAAGAAAGTTCGATTAAGCAAGCTGAATTTTACTAACTTTGTTGGCTACAATCATTCTTCTTTCTTAATTTACTAATGAAATTGCATCAGATTCTGTTTTGCATTCTTTGAAATCGGATATGATTCTGGGCACAGAAATCACATTTAGGACCACCGTTACCTATAGTTATATTCATGTATTTTTCTCTATCTATAGGAATTCTAGCTAAGCACAAATGAAAATAAAAATTAATGGATTAATTTTGAGTTATGTATTTTTATTTAATTTTGTTTATGTCTTTTTAATTAAATTTACATTGGATTTAAAATATAACAAAATTTAATTTTTAAAAGTGGATGTATGTATAAAAAGTGTGGAGAGAAATAGCGGTACCCTTCCTCAAATATTCAATATTACAAAACTATTTTTAGTTAAAAATGAAGGTCGAGAGCCTAAATGTACTGCATGATGTTTGATCTTCTTTAATGTGATTTTATGTATTGGGAAATTGTGAGGACATTGTAGACACTAGTGTGGGTACTTTCACTCGACACTTTTACTCGAATTTGATCACCTCAATGAATTGACTTAGTTTGATTATCGACCCTAGCTATAAAACTAACTTTTGATTCAATTCTAAAAAAAAAAAATTGTATGATTCTCATTCAAAAAAAATTGTAATTTTTTATGAATTAATATGTAATTAGAATAATCAACACTTTTAATAATTTAAAAAAAGAAAGTGTAAAAGTGAAATCAGAAAATTTACCTAACAACTTATACTTTAAAATTTATTTTTGAAGTTTGGTCCGATTCAATTCTTTTTTCTTGTAGAACCACAACCGTCATTCTATAGGTTGGGTAAATAAATTACAAAAGTACCCATTTGATTCGTGTTTCAATTTTTAGTTTTCAATCTCAGTTGTTTTTTTTTTTTTATTATTTTTTTTTTCATGTTGAGGGTCTTTTTAAAGATTGCTAATAATGCAGTTGATTTGTCTTTTGGAAAAATTATTTTTAAAATAGAAAATTAGAAAATACATTTGGTTTGAAAATTCGAAAAATAATTTTACGATATTTTATTTCTTAAAATTTTATTACTTAATAAAAATAGAACCATTTTATATTAATATATTATTCAATAATACATACATTATAAAGTTGATGAATCATAATGCTTTTTCTCGCTGCAAAAATAAAATAAAAAATAATAAACTAAGTTCAAATTATAGGAAATAAGAATAAATATTAATGACATTGATTGAGAATATTTTTATATTTGTTCATATAAATAGATGAGTAGGCTTCCTCTTTCTATTCACGGAATGTGATTTGGGACATAATGGGAGTTTGCGTGTCTCGCTCGAAAAGAGATCATCGAAGTATACCATAAGATCGCCTTTTCTTGTTACCATAGGGTTGACTTGTAAACAAGGCAAACCCAAAGGGAACCAAAAAATAGGGGTACATCATTCAGCAGAAGACAATCCAAAAAGCGAAGGCTGTCTCAACTGAATGAAGGAGCTTTGGAAGCTTACCTTGTTATTAAAAGGGAAAGGAGCAGCTCTTTCTATTTTTAGCCGTATGTTATGAGTTCTGCATTTTTTTGAAAATTTCTATGTAAATAATTATTAAAAGTTCGAACTATTTTTATTTTTCTAGAAATTTTTATAATTTTTGGTTTTTAATTTTTTTTTTTTTTTTTTTTTTATAGAAGGTAGGCACTTATACATTGAAATTAATAATTGATCGTAATGATATCTTGAAAATATTGATTAAGATGACAAATGAACCTCATTGTTAAGTGTCAAGATTTGTACAAATAGTAAACCTTGACGAGTGACACTAATGACGTATGCAAGAACATTTTAGCGAAGTTCGTGATCATTGGTCATGTCTCGTGAAAAAGATGATTATGCAAACATTATAACATTTTACTAGATGTCAAAATATTTAATATATAATTGGCATGTGAGTGGTGTATCGAGTGATGAAACTAATGAAACCATAGTTGGACCACTGTTGCTCTTCCAGTGGTGATTTTTGCATCACGTCACTGATTGTTGCATATGAATCATGATAGGTTAATGCCTCTCAAACTTTGCAATTTGAGCTTTTTATGAGTCAAAATGTTCAAGTTAGCTTACATTTATGCCCCGATTAATTCTCATTTTTTGGCCATAAAAATAAAAAATATTACCGTTATTCATCATACTAAGTCACAATATTTGACTTTCTATCTCTTATGTGGGTCTCGTAACGACTATATTTTTCATTCTCATTCTTACAAAAATAGTTACCAAACGGGCTCTTAGTTTGTTTTGCACACGTAAATGATTTTATTGTTTGATATTCAGTCTGAGTTTTTTGGCTTAGTTTTTATTTTCTTAGATTGTTCAAGTGATGCGGTCTATCGAAATCGCATAAAACTGATCCTATTTTTAATTCTCGTGTTGAATCATAAATTTTTATTTTCACTTTAGTTTTTGTGTAATTGACATTCTTACTTTTTAGGATTGAAGTTTGATGTTTATAACTATAGTTAATTGTGATAAGATGCCCAAAATTGTTGGTATTTTCTCAATCACAATAACATGAAATACAATTTGAACTTGAACTAACAAAGACATTACAGGTGGTGCTTGAACATTTTGATTCACAGAAAATAAACCTAGCTTGAACTATTTTATTCCTTTTAATGATGTTATTATTTTTGGCAACCACATTCTTCCACGATGTTTATGTATTTATGTTTGGGAAGTGCTACATCTACATAATTATCTAATAATGGTGTCCATAATTACACGTGACACTGGATCCAACCTTTAATTCAAATCATACACTTTCACATCAACAATTGGATGATTGTCACATCATATTATGGGCACCATCATATGCAATAATTATATACAAGTAGGATTTTCCTTTATTGTTATTATTATTATTATTATTTTATTTTTATTTTTTGTCTATCTTAAGAGAAATGGAATAGGAAACACTCTCTTAAAGACTCCTATTCATTATAAATAGGTATTATTTTCTTCTTTTAAACCCTTTACCATATTAAAAACGTGTTATGTACCAAATAACTTAATTAAATATAGGTCGTCAATTTTCCTCTTTAAACCATTTCAACTAATAGTCTTCGATTAAACTTTTAATTGCAGTCATCATCTGACGATGTTATTTATTTTTTATTTTTTTATCTATTTGAGACACTGATCATTTCCATTTAGAACAGGCAAAGGATTTCTCTTAACGTTGATTGATGAATTTCAATGGTAATCATAGCACATTTTGTTAAGAGAACTTGAAAGAGGATTTTGAGCTTTTTAGTTGCTCCACATCTTTAAGGGGAGATAAGAGGAAAATTTGGTGAAACTTGTTTGCTTGATTAGAAAATAGAGCACGTGTCTATGATTGTTGGTGACAGTGCAAATGATATGATAGTTATTTACAATGTTTTAAAAATCGACCTGATCAAAGACCCGAAAAAGAGGAAGGGTCAAGGGTCAAATGGTCGAATCAAAGTTGAACTGGGGTTGAACCAGTATGTGTGTGTGTGTGTGTATATATATATATATATATATATATATTTATTTATTTATTTATTTATTTATAAAGATAAAATCACAAAACAATCAATTACAATCAACTAAGTCAAGTGCTACTCAATCCAATTATATGATATGAATAACTTAATAAGTCAATGGCATAAAGTAAACAATAATGTCAATAACTGAATAACATGAAAACTTAAATAGCTAAAATTTAAAAGTTTCAAATTAATTGTCACCAATGAAAAATTGTCGAGAATAATTGAAACCAAAACACTAAACATAAAAGATTAAATAGTTAAATTTCGCCTTTACCATTTTCATCCATAACCTTTATCCTTGATCACTTCCACAATCACTTGAACCACCAAAACGATGAATAACATCCCTTGTGTCTAAATCTTCCCATTTGTTGAGTATTAATCTCATCGTTATTTTCATTGTCATCTAAAAAAAACCCTGACTAATGTAAAAAAAAAAAAAGACAAAAAGACAAAAACAATAAGTTAAGGTTATTAAACTTAGGAACCTTGAACATTATCATCAACTTCATCATCGTTAACATTGGAAATTACATTTTCTTCATAACTAGCATTATTTAAGCCTTCATACTCAAAATCCTATGGTGGCACTTTTTCTTCTATCCAAAAGTTTGTTTTGTCAATACACTCACGAGTCACTAAAATAATGGTTTACATGCTATTTCACTCCTTAAAATAGAAGACTTGTTTGGAAGTTTTATGTCCAAATCTAAACTAATGCAACAAATATGCTTCGTCTTTATAGGATGGTTGTCGAACAAGGATGGTAAAAGTTACTATCAATGATCTAAAAAAAAAAAAAAAGTAAAAATATGATTAATTCCACCGAGTCAATATCATATAGAAGAAGAACAAACAACAAAACCCAACAAATTTTCCAAAATCTGAAGTTAGATTTGGAAAAAATAAATAAATAAATAAATAATAATAATAATAATAATAATAATAATAATAATAATAATAATAATAA